ACTCATCATACCCACACAATTCTCCACAACAACTGATTTTTTTCTGCTACACCCGGCTACGTTGCTTCGCTTCTTCTTCTTCTTGTTTACTACTGGTGGTTGGCTTTGGTTGCAGTACCGCCACCTTCTGCTCTGGAGTGTACACGCTTTCCCTATGAGAAAAAGGAGCAGCGCATGAACCGAACGAAACACACGCGAACCGAACCGAGACAGTCAAACCGAACGGTTCGGACGGTTTTCATAAACCGTTCCATCCCTAGTGTGTGAGTGTGTGCGTGAATGGGTGAATGACTGAATATAGTGTAAAGCGCTTTGGTCAGGTCTCCTGACTTGAAAAAGCACTATATTAGTACAGGCCATTTACCATTTAAGTCAAATCCAATCTTTTGGTGAGAAATGTGTTACACTTACAAAAGTCAGGATGACTGTTAAGTTTTTAACTAAGTTTAGTCAAAACCATCATTATCTCTCATGCTCTAAGTCTTCCCTCTGCGATGATATACTTGAGGGTTTTGTTCCGGTAAGAAGAACAATAGATATTTTATCCAGGAAAAAATTCTTAATGCTAAATAGGGCTGCAACTAATGATTATTTTGCAAATTGATTAATCTGTCGACTATTATTTTGATTAATTGATTAATAATCAAATAGCCAAAGGTTCCTTCAGTAAGATTTCTTAAGAAATTAAACCAGGGGAAACTCAAACGTTTCCACTTGAGGAGTTCTGCATAGAGCATAGTGACAGATGATTTTTTTTTTTTTTTAATCTTAAATGCAAAATGTTTAGGTTTTTTTTTTTTTACAATTTTGATATAATTACTTTTTAAAGTGGGTTGTTCTGTGACCTTAAGGCATGTTATAGAGTCTCTATACGCCATTTAACGATTAATCGCTTACTAAATTAGTTGATGATTATTTCAATAATTGATTAATCAGGACTCATCTGATTGTAAAAATCCTGCCCTAAATATAAATATTAAACCTATCAGTAAAGGATAGGCAGGTGTCTTATAAGGATGAGATACGTTTTGCATTTTTGTTTTATTGCTGCCTCCAGTGCTGTAAACACTTCTCCAAAATACCAAGAGGCACGACCACATGGTTATGAGAGCACAACCCAAGTTTTAACAAGACCAAAGGGCTCTTCAGCATTGAGTCATGGTGGTTTTGTCAAAAAAAAATTATGATCTGTCAAATGTGAAAAGAGGCATATTGATAGTTTTCGGACCAGGAGGCGACAAGGAGGAAACGAGCCACACACAAAGCCACACACAGTTAAGCCAAAAAAAAAAAAAAACATTTATAAGGCAGGGGCCATGTTTCTGGATTTAATGGTAGACGTATCTATTTATTTATTTTGCCGAAACTAGTCCCTGTTTTTTATGATACACGTTGAAAATGAAAATCTAGACCAAAGTTATGCCAGCTTGTGAAAATTGTGCAAACGGAAAGCATAGAAGTGATCGCTTCAGGGAGGGAAATGAAAAAAGGAAAATATTACCCACATCTTCATTTCGCTTACGTAACATGAAGTATTCAAGAAATAAATTAGAGGAACATAATAACAGGAATGTCAGATGTTTTTGCCCTATGCCAGCGCCCTGAAACATCCCCTCTGACGCAAACGCTTTAAACTCTGACAGCTCACCTCTGAGAACATTCAAGGGAAAAACAGGGACACAGGCAACATTTACTGTGCTATGCAGGGACTCTTAGAGGGGCATCAAGTAAAAACAGCTAAGGCATGTGGAGAACATTGAGGGAGACATGAGGGAGAATGGGTCAAATGTTATTTTCATTTTGGTATGAGTAGAAGAAACTTGAATGCAAATTGGAAAAAAAAAAAAAACTGAAAAGCTCTTATTGCTTAGCTGAAGGATTTCTGCTAAAAGTGGAAGCTAAGGTAAAGTTTAAATTGTCATCAAACATGTTGTATACCATATACCCAGAGTTGAATGAATGCCTAACAGAAAATTAGGCATAGAAATAAATCCAATTTATGCTCAGCTGGATCTAAAAACACACAAAGAGGAAACTGATAAGAGCTCAAAATATCCACTACTTACTTATAAGCTATTTTGAAGTCAAAGAGTTTAGGAACCATAAACACTACTTAAATGCTGTAATAATATATAATTTTTATAAATGCCATTTGTGATGTGTTGCGTTCTTTGAAACAAATTATAAAAGTGTAAATAGAGTATGAATCTGTAGGAATCTGCTGTTTTTTTTTTATAAAAGAGGACATAAGCAGCTTCAGTGTTTGTCATGTCTCTGGAAATTTTGTGGTAAAAGTATTTTCAAAAACTTGCAAACAACTTGCAGTAATAACCATGATCGCATTAACAAATTGCTGGTGAAGATTCTCAGTCA